TGAAGATATTTAGCCGTATTTTGGCGAACAGGTTGGCCCCTATCATCTCCTCTTTGGTTTCTCCAGACCAGTCGGGTTTTATTCCCGACAGATTTATTACTGATAACGTTCGCCTCACTCTAAATGTTATTCAAGATGCTAATTTACATTCCAAAGAGGTTCTGTTGATGAGTTTAGATATAAACAAGGCCTTTGACAGTGTTCTTTGGCCATATTTATTCTCCCTGCTAGGGAAAATGGGCTTTAGTGACGGGTTTTTGGCAGGCGTGCACGCCCTATACGACGACTCTCCTAAAACAAGAATAAGGCTTCCTGGTTGTAACTCTGACTTTTTTTACATTGGGTAGAGGCACCCGCCAGGGTTGTCCTCTTTCACCCCTTCTATTTGCGCTGGTGTTGGAACCTTTGGCATTGGCGATCAGATCACATTCGGATATTTCTGGTTACTCATTAGTAGTTTCACATTTTAAAATGAGCATGTATGCCGATGATGTTATGCTTTTTCTTACTAACCCATTGACTTCATTGCCTAATTTATGTGCTGTATTGAATGATTTTGCCTTAGTGTCAGGTCTCACCGTTAATTTTACCAAATCGGTGATTATGCCGGTTAATGTTCCTGACTCCCTAAGTGCATCTCTCCGTAGCTCATTCCCATTTCGTTGGGTCAAGGACAGGATCTCCTATCTGGGGATTAATCTCACCCCTAGATACTCGGATATGTTTGCTGCTAATTATCCATCATGTGTATCACGTCTCTCTACTCTATTGAAGATTTGGCATGGTTATCATATTTCCTTTCTGGGTAGAGTCACGGCGGTTAAAAAATGAATATTTTGCCCAAACTGCTTTATCTTTTTAGATCACTGCCAGTTCCAGTTTCAAAAACGTTTTTGGATCACTTTCAGCGGACTGTTAATAATTTTATTTGGGGAAATAAGCATCCACGTATTGCTTCATCCATTTTGTACCGCTCACAACGGACGGGAGGTCTTGGCCTCCCCAACTTTTGGCTATATTACCTCTCTGCTCGTTTTTGCGCAATTATCACAATGGGCTACTATTAATTCTCAAATCCCATGGATCAAGTTTGAGTCTCAATCAATACGCCCATTTTGTTTACCGGGAATTCTATGGTCTAAAATTTCCCCCCGATCGCTTACTTTTCATAACTCCATAGTGACTCATTCGCTGACTCTCTGGTCCAAATACAAATCTAAATTGAATCTAGTCTCTCTTACCCCCCAGGTGTTTCATTTTTTGGTGACCCCCACTTTTGTTGTAGCTTTTTCTTCCCCTCAACAGTTTCGTTGGTGGTATGATCGATCCTTTATCAGATTATCGGATTTTCAAAGAGGAGGATCGTATATTACCTTTGATATGCTACGTGTGTTGTTTTGATGTTCCTCTTCGCGAGTACCTTCGCTACCGACAGATTAGACATTTTTTTAATTCACACTTTGGCCTTATGCCATCTTCCCCGATTTCTTTTTTTGAACGTATCAGCCGTGACTCTCCTAGGGGTAGGGGTCTTATCTCAGATCTTTATCACCAATTTTTGATCTGCCTTTTTCATACACCCCCCTCTTATCGACAAAAATGGGAGGAGGATTGTGGTATCACTTTTTCAGAGGAGGATTGGGATTCCATGGTGGATAATATATGCAAGAGTTCTAGATCTCTTTCGGTTCGTGAGACAGCCCTTAAGGTTTTAACCAGATGGTATTACACCCCATCGAGACTACATGTATTGTTCCCACAAACGTCCCTTTATGTTTCCGGGGCTGTGGCCTCACAGGTACTTTGGTTCATATATTCTGGGATTGCCCGACCATATCTTTGATTTGGTGTAAGATATCTGAGTTGGCTACCTCACTGTCGGGTACCCCGATACGATTGTCCATACAGACCTGTTTATTGGGGGCCAATATCCCAGGGGTCTCTGATGCCAATCTGAGATTGATACATACATTATGTATTGCCACCTTATGGTCTATTGCCTTACACTGGAGGTCCAATGCTGTACCCTTGGACTCCGTTTTACACAGAATTGATACTGTAATGCTCATGGACCGCATTCATTATACCCTACTGGATAAGATGCACTTATATGATAAAAAATGGGGAGTCATGGAGAGATTGTAGACACTTATTGCATGTTTAACAATATTCTCAGTAAAAGTTGCCTGACATGTACTGTTGACGGATGTATCTTTTAGCTTATTTTATTGTTCACGTTTTTTCATGCACTCGTAATTTACTCTTTTCCTTTTTTTTTTTTTTTTTCTCTCTTTCTTATGTTAATATACTTTTCTGTATTGTACATTTCAAAAGTGCCTTGTTTTCGTTGAAAATAACACTTGAAAGTGTGCTGTTGTTTTACAGTCTACTTATATTCAATAAAATCGTTTGTAAACAAAAAAAAATGGGCAGCAACCCCCTGAGGCTGGGAACAGCAAGGCAAGAACAGGTCTGTTTCAAACCCCGGATTATTTATGTTCTCCCCCAGCCACCTACTGGGCACATCTCAACAGGGATTGGCTACAGCATAATAAATATTCAAGATGCCCATTTTGCTCTCCCAGCCCTCTTTGTTTTAGAAGCCTCTAGAAGGCAGGGAAAACAATCAAACATGCAGCCTGTGAAAGCCAGAACAGCCCAAAGAAGTCAACAGCTGCTCTAATGATTACAGAGGAGCCAAAAAGAAACAGATTTACCTATCATCCCAGCAACCTATCTAGAAGGGTTCTACACTGTGTTCTTTTTTTTTAAAGGAAAATGTATATATATATAGGGCGCGCTTGTTAGAGCCCAACCTCTGTAGCTGTAGGATAAAGGTGCCAGATGGATATCAGGGATGGATGGATGGATGGATGGATGGGAGTAGTAACACTGAGGCAGCTCTTCTTAGAGTGGAAGCAAGGCTCTAATGCAGTAACATAAAAAAGAGAGGAAGGCGTCTCTAAGTGCAGTATTGACAATTTATTAATAAACAATAGATAAATTGCACTTACAAGATAAATAGTTAAAAAGACTCATCGTGTGGTGTAATAAAATCCAGGTGGAACATTCAGCTGTCCAGCAGCAAACTCAGACCTCTGAGGTCTGAAAAAGGAGCCTATGGAGCATGCTCCGAAATGCATTACCGCTCCCTTCACCTCCTACATCCGACTCTGCTCTCCAAGCCTCTTTTTTGATGCACAGGCACATCCTGGGCTCTACTTCCTGATCCTATAGACAGAGTTTGCTGCTGGATGTTTCACCTGGATTTTATTACACCACACAATGAGTCTTTTTAACTATTTATCTTGTAAATGCAATTTATCTATTGTTTATTAATAAATTGTCAATACTGAGCTTAGAGGCGCCTTCCTCTCTCTTTTTTACTTTTTTAAAAGGACCTTCTATTGCTCTCAGCCTCCTCAAAATATCCAAATTCCTTTTTTTTGGTTGCTGTTGTAATCCAGTCTCCTGGAGGATGGCTACATTTTTTCTCCATGCTTTGAACATAGCCATTCTCTCTGGCTTGGTTTTGAGAATAATGTTTAGTGTACATAGCGTGGAAATGAGAGGAAAAAGGAGACATTCAGGAGCTCACAGAGGACCTTACAAGGAGGCAGAAAAACACAGTAAGAAATCATTTCATGAAAAATAGATTATAGGCCCATTATATAGTAGACGTGTATAGATTATTTTTGGAAAATACGGATATTGTTTAGTGTCATTTTAACCCTTTCTCTCCCAGGCCCTGCTCTCCACGTTCAATCTCAGGTGGCCAGACCATGTTTGCTATCTTTCAATTTTTTATTACATTTCCACTATTTTTTTTCTTAACGGCTTTGACAGTTTGTAATATACCCCCCAATCCATGCATTTTCTAAAGCTATATGAGATGTTGGATGAGAATGCTTGCCTTGATGATGTGACAGGCTCTCCTTTTATCCTCCTGCATTCATATAATTATGATCCCCATTGGTGAACAAAGGTAAGAGGTAGGGGGCCATGTTCAAGTGAAGTGATGGGCTTTCTGTGAAGGGGAGACGCAGGGGAGAGAGATCTGTGCAGTCTGAAAAATAAATTGATAAGTGCTCCCTTCACTGAGTCATCCAGCCCGAGTATAGCGCGGCTTGGCTGTTTCACCTAAATTAATGTTCGCAGAGAAGCAGCCCACACAGTAGCAACATTTGGCCCCTGTGAATCAGTTGTTATTCTAATATTTTACCCAGGGGTTGAGCAACGTTTTGTTATGCTTTCTTTCCCTATTGTGGAACACACAGAAATAATTTTACACCATTTTGCATAATGCATTGGAACAGAACGACCCGTGTTCGCATAAAACAAGCGAATGACTAAAGTCTCTGGAAAATAATGTTCAGTCAATTGACGGAGATCTACAAATGAGAGGATTTGATCCTACATTATTTCTGCAGCTTGACCTGAACAAATTATCTTCTGTGCATTTTCATTTTGTTGTCTGATCAACAGGGCACCCGACACACAAGATCACTCACCTGTTAATCTCTAGCATCAGCTTCTTGAGTCCTTGCTGCAGTCATCACCCGGTGACTGCTTTTTCCCTCTAATAAAAATATCATTTTTTCATTATAACATTTCACGAAGGATTAGCTGAGTAATCCTTTTATGAAATCAGACTTATATAAAATTAAAATTGCATTAACATAAAATAAAACCTGCACACATTTTTTCCGACTGATAATGTGGATGTTTAAAATAATATAAACATTATTTTCTAAAATCAATTACATTTAAGGGACTGTATAGTCTTGTCAATATTTTATATATAAAAGATATGTTTTATGTAAATAATTTTATTGAAATATGTAAAAGTGGTATTGAACTCAAAAATTTGAAAAAAAATGTTGAGAGGCAGGATTTTTAGAACAGAAGAGGCCCTGACAGTCAAAAATGCTCCCCCCTGTCTGTCATTGGTAATGTACACTGAACTGCATGTGTGCAGCTCAGTGAACATTATGGCACCTGATGATGTGACTTTGGTGACACCTGGTGATGGTGAGACCTGGCGATGTGACTGTATATATGCATGGGAGTGACCAGGGGCGGATTGACAACTCATGGGGCCCCCGGGAAATAGGGGATCATGGGGCCCCTGTGTCCTTGCCCAAACTCAAAAAAGCATATGAAAAAGGTACCAGGGGCATCTCATGGGGCCCCTACTGACCCCGGGCCTCGGGCAGTGCCCGAGTTTCCAAATGGTCAGTCTGCCCCTGGGAGTGACGTTATCATGGCCTGGCCATAGAAGAGAAGAAATATTCCCAGCACACCAAGGATTCCTCATAAAGAGTCCAAAGCTTTATTTTATGGTCACATGGTAAACACAATGTGTTTACCAAGTGACCATGAAATAAAGCTTTGGACCTGTTTTGAGGAATCCTTGGTGTGCTGGGGACATTTATTTGCTTTGATTGTCTATGGTTTCTGTCCTATGGTCACTGCAACACCCAGCAATACTGAACAGCCATCTTCAGGATCATGTGTGTTGGGAATATTGCGATTGGACTGGTTATTGAAGAAGCTGAACACACAATACCTGGAAGGAAGACCAGGAGAAGATCGGGATTGGTCACAGCGCAGTGATAATGCAATAGTGGTGAAGCGCTACACATGCAAATGTGAGTCAATGGATGTAATAAATCTACAATGCTGTAAAGTTGCATAAATCCACCAAAGGAAACAATAACACATACATATATTATTATTATTATACAGTATTTATAAAGCACTGATAGTTCGCTCAGCGCTGTACATTACAAAGGGGGACAGAACATGTGACAGAACAATACCAATACAATGCAAAACATGAGGGGATCGAGGGCCCTGCTCTTTCGAGCTTACAATCTAGGAGGGAGGGGATGGTGGCACAGGAGGAGATAGCTGTGGGGGATGGAGTGGTAGGAGAGCAGAGGAGGTTGGCAAGTTAGCAGGGGGTGGGGTAGGCTTCTCTGAAGAGATGGGTTTTCAGGGTGCGCCTAAAGGAGAGGAGAGTAGGTGATAATCTGATGGGTTGGGGCAGGGAGTTCCAGAGGATGGGTGACACCCTGGAGAAGTCCTGGAGGCGGGCACGGGAGGAGGAGACCAGGGAATTAGAGAGAAGGAGGTCTTGTGAGGAGCGGAGTGTGCTTGCTGGGCGGGGGTACTTGGATATTAGGTCATTGATGTAGTTCGGGGCAGTATGGTGGACAGCTTTGTACGTCAGTGTTAGGATTTTCAATTTGATCCGTTGCGCAATCCGTTGGTGATTAAAAAATCATCCTCAAACAAAGTGCTGAAGTGCAACCGGGTCAGTCTATCACTGACCAGGAACCAATGTGCCAACAAGATGACCCTCATAGGGTAAGGTCGATGAGACAATAAATGCAACACACTCTAATTTAAAGTGACAAGTGCTCTGACTGTAAACATAATACGTAAAAACATCTATCAATAAAATGTCCACAGTAAAGTGCAATAACTGGTGCATAAAGGTTGATGTGCAAAAAACATCAACCTTTTTCGTTTTCAATATATTTTATTAAACTCAGATTAGTAAACGACAAATACATTTGTCATTTAAAGAAGAATAAGAGAACAATTATACAATTGAATTAGCAATTCAATCACATGCAAGATAATTAAAACAAGAACAGGAGATGTTCCTGTCTAATAAGATGACAGTTTTAACTCTTTCTTCCTTTATTCTAAACTACAAAGAAATATATTTGGCTAGAGTTGGTGTTTAATAATTTTTTGCTAAATATGGTTAGGGAAAATAACCAATTAGATGCCCATTAACTGTGGTCAGCTCTGGGATCGATGAGTACCCATTGCTTGCTCAGGGCTACTGAAGTTTGCACTGTAGCCCTTCCTTTTGGATAATCGTAAAAAAACTACTGGCAGCTTCCAAACATTTTATTTTTTTTTGCCTCTGCATTCAGTAAGCAGTGCAAACTGCCTCACTTGTGTTTACAAAGTTAAGAAGGCAATTAAAGGAAAGAAAATAATTGCTTTCTTTATTCTCGCTGTCAGTGTCCATGCCTGAGGTGAAGGTTGTTGTGTAGAGTTTTGCCTTGATCCTTACAATGGAGATAATATTCTGTTTATCTGGAACACTCACCAACTAAAATCCACTGAAAAATGTATGAAAAAAAGTTACCAAGAAAACTATTTTTCTATATAATAAGGGACAAATGAGTGAACTAACTTTGAAACCAAATGATATTTTGGTTTTACTGCATTAGAAAACTGTGACCTCTTATAACAGGGGTGCTGAATTAAAATTCACGAGGTTCGAGCAGTAAAACTTTCTTCCAGCGGAGGTCCGAGTCTTATGTATGTGCGATGACTTTTCACATGACAGCTACCTGTACACATCACAGTCCCCCCTCTACCCCTCTTTAGGGCCCGATCATCCAGGCCCATATGATAAAATGTAAGGTTCTACTGTGTGGGCACCTGCTTGTGTAAGGTCCAGAAAGTGGCAGTGCAATGCATGTTTTTTTCTTCTATCAACTTTATTGAAATGTCATTCATTTTTATGCACCACAGCTCAGTTGTGGTGGAAAGAAACAGAATGTACATGGAGCTTTCAGGTGAGCTCCAGTCAGTTACAAGAGAAATGCCCTCAGTATGTATTTTTTGCACTGCACTGCTCAGCACCCATGGACACTGTTGCAGTATGAACATGGCATATAGAAAACAATTGTATTCTGTGTGTCCTTGCAGAGATATGTTTCTAGTGCATAAAAACCATAGATCTCTGCACAAGTGTGAACGAGCCCTTACATTAGTGTCCTTAGTCCCTTCTTCAGCCACCCCTTTACATCACAGATCCTCCCTTCACATCAGTGCTCTCAGTCCAACCTTCACATCACAGTCTCCCCTTTTAAATCCTTCCAAGACCCCCTTCTCATCACACACACACCCTTTTACATCACATACCCCCTATCACATCCACCCCTTTTACATCACAAACCCCCCATCACAGTTCCCTCCTTTACAACATTGCCTTCAGTCCCCCCTTCACATCACAGCCCCCCATCCTTACAGCACCATCACCTTCACATACTAGTCCCCCCTCACTTCATCCTTACATCACAATCTTTCCTTCATATTACCACCCCTCCCTTACATCACAGTCCCCGTTTTACATCACTGACCCCCATTACATTACAGTCCTCCCCCTCACAGTTCTTCCTTCATATTACAGACCTCTGTCCCCTTCATTACAGTCCCTCCTTCATATCAAAGTCCCCTTCACACCGCAGCACTCCCCTTCCCAACTCCCTTTACTGTCCTAACTAAAGCCAGCCATAGATAGATCAAATCTTGGCCAGTCCCTGCTGAACCAGCCAATTTCAATCCATCTATGGCGAGGCAGTTAGAATTTACATATACTTGCTGCCAGAGGCTATAGCCACTAGCAGTAATCATTGTGTTCTACTGGCAGGGGAAGGATCCCTGCCGGCAGAACACAATAGCACTGTGGGAGGGATTCCCCCACCCATGGTGGAAGGAAAGAAAATCAAATCATCTATGGTTTGCCTTACACAAGATGGGAGGTGCAGTAGGTCTAGGTCTAGATAGAGGGCAGGACTTTTCAAGTTAAAGAGGGTAAATGGTTGCTTGGACCCCCCCCCCCAGCAGCCTAGCAACCAATCACCTGCTGCTTAACTTGAAAAGCCCCACCCCCTATCCAGACCTGTCATGCCTCCCATCTTGTGCTCTTCCTTGAGGATGACAGTGGCAGCAAATGGCAGGGCGGGCCCACTGGCAGAGAGGAAACTTTGTCGAGGATGCACTCTAGATAGCACTGGTACTCAGGCTGGATCCAGCCTGCAGTCTGCCATTTAGTGAATCCTGCCCTATAGAATGGTTTAAAATATATATTTTAAAAAGGGCCATGATGTTTCATATTTACAGGTAATTAATTATAAGGCATAGAAGGTAACTGAACCAATCATGAGTCAGTAGAGTGTGGTAAATTGTAAGTCCAGCCAAAACATTTTTTGGATAGTTGAAGAGATTTCCTCTAACCTACCTTTACTGTTTCACCAGAAGCCGATGTAGTTTCTCGCCTTCTCCTAATCTACTACAAAAAAGTGTATTTTTTGCATTTTTGCTCTCAGAATTTTCCCTCAAGTCCTGTTTGTGAAACCATATGACTGTGAGCATACAGCAAGAGGGAGCCCAAAATGACTTTAATTGTTGATAAATAGGTAAAAAAAAACTACCAAAGCATTGTTGGGGCAACACCAGTTGCCATTCATTTGGCTCAACATAGGATAAAACTTGGATGGACTCAAAGAAAAGAGCGACCTCAAAGATTTATATTAGAATCTATATTACCTGTCTTCATGGAGTAACTAAGTAACAACTGTAATGTGGTTGCTCAATGAGGAGAGTTGAATACTGGTTCTAATATTGATCTGTGAGGTCCATCTGAAGTTTATCTTGAGTTGAGAGCTGATGAATGGGGAGTTGCGTTGTCCCCGTGTGTGCGTTGGCTGTTTTTATGACCTATTTACCAATATTTAAAAGTATCTTGGACTCTTCCATCTGTTTTTGTCTGATGTTCCTTTCTGTATTTTTATGCTTTGAGCTACTATTAGGAACTCTTGAAGGAAGTCTTGCTGTGTTGAAGCTGTCTTACCAGAGCTTTTGACATTGTTTAAACTTTTCCTTTATCTGAAATTTCACAGGGCCTCTTTAAACATTTTTGTTATTTTAATCTCTCTGATGGACAGCAGTAAAACCCAACACAAGATTGAAACATTCTCCTCTCTATCCCAAACCGAAAAAAAAAAGACTTTTGGCTACATTTTAAGAATTAGCAAATCAAGTTACCATAAGGACTATTTAGGTTAATGCCCAGGTAAAAATCTATGTTAAAATTACTTTTTTACATGTTAAAAAAAATCTGCAGACTATATTTAAATAAATATATTTTTTGAAATATATATTTTTGAAATATATTCTTCAGATTTTTTTAACATATAAAAAAGTTGTTT